CAGTTTTAATTTCAAGACCACATCTAATCTTTATTCGATTCTAATCGCGTTTCGACGAAGCCCAAAGTTCAAATCTACAAAAAAGAAGAAATAGTTAGTTTAAAGAGTAGAATACAATGCAGCAATAGAGAAAAAAAAATTGGGCTCATCTCTAATGCCAGTTTCAATTCCAAGAGCATTCCTAATTTTCATCATCGATTCTAATCGCGTTTCAACGAAGCTTAAAGTTCAAATTTACAAAAAAGAGGAAATAGTAGGTTCAATTCAATATAAAAAGGCAGAACACAATAGAGAAAAGAAAAACTAGACTTATCTCTAAAGCAGTTTTAATTCTAAGAACACAGCTAATCTTCTTTATTCGATTCTAATCGCGTTTCGGCAAAGCCCAAAGTTCAAATCTATAATATAAAAAAAGAAGAAGAGATCAAAGAAAAAAATCAAAGCAATAAAAGAAAAAATACATATTAAAAGCGATTAGCATCCGAATGCAAGCTGTGTTTCTAAAAACAGGCATTATGGTTCTATATAAGTCAACGTCCTAAAAATGGTTAAATTTGAAGTCATGGACCTAAATTGACATGAAAAAAATATATAGAATTATTATTTATAGATCGTTGAATTAAATAACGTCTGCTAATTTAAAAGAAATATAGTACCATACTTAATTAAAAAACCAGGGCCTAAATGAATACCAAAAACTTATAAAATGCTCAAGTATATTGTACGGCAGTGGATCACTATTGCAATTCACATTCCTCATTTACTTGCAAACCAAGATTGCAAATTGTGGGTTGAAATTATCTTCATACCAACTAAATTAATGCGAACTGAGTAAGGTTGCTATTTTCATATTAACCGAACTATTTAAAAACACGAATTACCATTTTGACAAATTAAAATAATAACGAGCGTGTAAACACACGAAAGTATAAATACGTAATGTATAACGCGAAAATTAGAGTTGCATTAATTATTACGTGTATAAAACGGACAGTCCAGGGGTACGTGATGGCTGTGGTTGGTTCAACTGCACATGATGATCTGCAAATAAAATTATTGGTAACAAATTAGGAGTTTGTATTACCCGCGCAAGAGCGTTAACAACTATAATAACTCATCTGGGCGGTAAAAATCAGAAAGCAAATATTAACAACTTAGTACTAAATAGCTATTAAGTCTTTCTAAGCATCATCGATGCTCAGCTAAGCTCTACAAGAGCGGCGCAAGTTGAAAAGCTTGAAAGTATTCTATAAAATACGTTCTTTGTGACACAAAAATCACTTATTGCGATGAAAAATTTGATCAAGTGTACCATTTACATCATTGAATCCGGTTATTAAGTTCATTATGATAGCTACGTTAAAAAAAATCTTTTTATGTGTAGGAATTAATAGCATTCTGATTCGTTTACGATCGAACATTATAGAGAATTTAATTGTAAATTTTATAAACTACTCCGGAAATTACAACTGATCTTGCATCTTGAAAGAACCGATGGTAATTCATTATTACTGACATTTAATTTTTATGATGCTTAATATATTGTTTACGCCTTATTTAGAATATTATCAAGAGAAGTTTGATCAACAGACTGATTTAGTCACTGAAATTGATATAAAAGTTGAAGAATTAGTCAATCAAAACCGAAAGAAAATTTTCCGGATCATATGTAAACAGTTTATATATATTATCGTACATTATTATTTTACTTCGTTTTAAATATACAATTAAATTAATATGATGCTTAAAAGGTTTATCGGAGAAGAGACGAAAGCTGTTGGAAATCATTATGAATTTACAGATAAACCAATTGACCCAATAGGTGTGATTATGTGTCTTCTAACTAGAATTAATCGTATATAACAATAATGCAAGTTTAATTATTGTAGACTGAACAACTAATTTTGTTCAAGGGTATAATACAGGTTTGTACTTTCTTATTTATGCAATATTATTTTATTTTATTTTATTTTTCTATTATAGTTATCCTTTTGTTGTTGTCTCAATTGGGCTAGCTATTAATAAGGAACCCGTAGTTGGTGTCGTGTTTAACCCATTCTTCAATGAAGCGAGTTAAATATTTTATTAATGTTTATGTATCATGCCTATATAGTATAGTATGACATAGATTTCGGCTAATACTATGCTATACTGCATACTGTATGTGTTGGCCGATAACCTTAAACGACCTATAAGACTTGATATGATATTAGTAAGAACCATAGTAAAAAAATTTTCTAATAGCGTTTAATATGACCAAAAAAAAATTGTACAGCTTAGGTCATTGGCCAACACTTATACGGCATGCCAGACATCCCGAGTAAAAAGATCAATTCTGTACGTAACTTATTAAGATCGTCTGGAGAAGTTTCTTGGAGTTCAAAAAAGCTGGGTCAGTACATTTAATTAGAAACATGGGCTGTTGTATTATGAGTATATGTTATGTGGCCAAAGATATTCATTTTTCAATTAGAGGCTGGGAATGGTTTGTAATTCTTTTCAATTGCTATTAAACAAAAAAAATTTTTTTTTTTTTATTAATTTTCTATATTACAATTTACTGCATAGGCAGCTCGTTGAATCAGGGGTAACATGGTTAATTATCACGGGTTCGATGAAGGTTCATTAGACATTTTTGGTCGCAAATATATAAGCATTAGAGGTGGTTCACTATGCGATGGTGATGAAAATTCCAAACAAAGTCAATTACGCCTTGTAGGATGTTATTGAAGAATTGCCCAAGATTTATTTATATTATTCTACATATAATATATAACCTACAAATCATATCTTCTAATTATTTTATAAATATGCAAAATTGCAATTAATTCATAAAAATTACCCATTTATTTTAAATATCCAATCCATCCAACTTATAATAAATTACTCGGCATCATGTGTATGTCCGTTCGAATTGAATCAAGAACTAACGAACAAACATAAGTAATAGTTATATCCTGGGCAGTTGGGTATAAGCGGGACTTTCAGCCCCGCTTATATACATAGTGCCCAGGGTATAACTGATTTATGCCCTGCGATCTTGATATAGTAACCAGGGTATAATATAATTTAATCGTTGCTACTTAAATATATTTACGTTCTTGATTCAATTTTACTTCCAAATATAGTTAAATCTGATCTATATCATCTTTTTTCTGAATCCTCATTATTGGGTTCCAACGAACCCAAATTGGGTTGCAACTAGCGATGCAAACCAAACTATTTGGGACGTCCCAAACTGCGTGATGAATAGTATCAAACAGTTTTAGCAATAGTA